CGAAGTTGCTGCGCAGGCGCAGAATAACCCATTTGTGTGATTCGCAGAAACCATGAAGAAGAAACACCTTTACACCCAGCCAGACAGTTCCGGTACCAGTGGAAAGAATGAGTTTATCTCACGAAACAGAATCCCCTGGAACTTCAAATTCTAATCCTAGGTGAATAATTCATCCTCTTTAGCATAGTGCTCCTCCAGTATGTGACATATTCCAGGGTAGCTGTGCTGGCTCCGTAGCAAAATACAGCAAATTTCAAAAGCCACAAAACAGTGATACCTTATTGGGCCAATGAAAATGCGCAAAATACATCATGCAAGCTTTTGAATCTTCACTGGCTTCGTCATCAGGCAAAGATATGCATTTTGGATTTGTTTGGATTTCGCTGCATGGCCAACATGGCTACCCATGAATATGTTTCCTACATATGAATACTTTTCATTTTGTACACACTGAATGAGTGGCAACTCACAGCTATTATGTAGGGATGTGTGGCAATGACTCTACTTTGTGTTTTAGGTCCAACTGCAGAAGATCACATTAAAGTACCAAAGCTATTAGGGCAGGGGTAGGCAACCTAAGGCCCGGGGACCGGATCGGCCCAAGGCCAGTCCTGCCACCGCCACCCGCCATGATGATATTGATTATTATTGTTATTACTTGTTCTTGGGGTTTTCTTGGCAAAATCTCCACAGGGGTTTTGCCATGGCTTTTCTGGGGCTGAGAGAGTGTGCATGCATATTTTTCATTTTTAAAAATTATTTATTTATTTATTTTTGGTGCTTCGGCCCCCCCAATTGACAGCAACCCGGCCCCCGGCTCAAAAAGGTTGCCTATCCCTGCATTAGGGGAACAGAGTTCAGCACCTTGGATAGCTCCTTCAACTGTGGAATAAAACAGAACAGATTCACCACACTCTGTACCCAGTCTTTTTCTTTCTTTCATTTCATTTTTCAAATTTTGGAGCAGAATAGGAGACTGTGACCACAATAAATATGTTAAAACATTCACAGTGTAAAGCTTGCCAATTGTTGTATGAGGAAGAGAACAGTGTTTTTTTTTTTTTTTGTGGATTTTGGATTTGGTTGTAATTTCCTGCATTAACAACCTGGGCTTCATTCCCACTACGTTTTAAACTGGTTTGTAAACTGGTTTGAAGCAGCTTAAATGATCCTGGTTCACACTTGAACCAAACTGCTGAAGTGGTTTGGAGAGGGGGGCCATGCACCAGACCCATTTAACATGCATCTTTTTTATGCTGATTTTTTCTGCATCTTTTTCGATAAATCGATTCCGCGCAAGTGTGAACCAGATGCGGATCGGAATCAATTTAAATTTGCCCTTCAGCCGGCTGAAGTGGGTCCATTTTGAATTCATTCATTCATCAATGTGAACCATAAGTGGGTTATTTGACAGCAAGAAAATGCGATCAGGGCAAATGTAGTGTGAACCATGCTTCGCTGTTGAACCGATCCATCGATTTGGATTGCAAATTGATTCATTTGTAAGTGGGAATAAGGCCCTGGCCTCTCCTGAATGTATGTCCTAGATCTGAAGATACTGAATTTTGCCACAACAGGGAAAACTTTAACAACAGGAAGCGATGGACGGCACAACCATTAAAGGAAGGGGACAGGAGCCCTCCTTGGCTCTTTGCTGTTTCTACTTCTAACAAAGGTAAAACTCTTTCATTTGAACTATAATTGGCAAGTTTTACTTATACAGCACCTAAAGGTTTTTCCAGATGTAACAGTACAGGGCTTCTTGAGAAATTCAACCTTTTCTGCCTAAGCAGTTAGCCTTGCATGGGACAGAGTTTGCCTAGATCAGAATGGAAGTTACTTTGCTGCTGCTAATGAATTTGAAATTTTATATTTTAAAATTTTAAATTTTATGTTGTCTATGTTTTACTGCCCTTTCCCCCCAGGTTCCCACATGGCCAAAAAAAGGAGTGGTGAAGAGGGTACTGAAAAGCACCTTAAAAGGAGAAAACACTAAAGAGACAAGCTCTGAGATGGTCAACTGTTTTTAAAACCCTCCAACACATTTAGGTATCAGTGAGAAAAGGCCTTCTTCAGGGGGTCAAAACAAAAACACACATATATTATAAATATTAAAACATGACAAAATTAACTCTATCCTATAAAATCACATAGGATTACACTATAAAGATACCCTTCAGCAGCATTCATGGGAGTTAAGAACACTCTCAGATAGTCCTTGAAAAGGAATAACCAAAGATGTGTGTTGGAATCATCCCCAGGGACATCTGATGCAATCTATCCAGGTGATTACTCAGCCCATTCATGGCATTATATTCAAAAGTGTACATTCACACATTATATTACTATCATTCTCTGCTGCATTTAAATTAAAAGACTGTAGGCCCATCTTTATTCAGACCTAGAAAAGGAGTGACCCTTGCCTGCATTGAGACTGACAACAGGCGTAACATCTGAGATAAAAGGTAGGCCTGTGACTCTAACATGGTCGCATCTACAGTGATTTTTAATATCTTTGCCTGATGAAAAAACCAGGGAAGCATCAAAAGCTCACATGATATATTTTATGCTACTTAGTTGTCTCAAATCTGCTGTTTTGTGGATTTTGTTGTATTCTCCTGCTTAGAAAAGTGGCAAGTACCAAACCGTACCATAGTAATACACCCCCATCCCTAAAAATATATCACTCTATCTCCTCACTTCCCCACCAATTGTTTACACCAGTTTAATATCCTGAATTTAAAACCTGTGCTGGGACTCAACCTGGCTGCCAGGAAGTATCTGGGAATCCCTCTACCCCCAGCAAGCCCTTGAGTAGATATATTCCCCAATCGCCATACATGGGTGATTAAGAGATGTAATAAGGTTGCCAGAGTGAAAACTGGAGAGGACTCCTATCCTCTTCCTTTAATGGTTGTGCAGAAAAGGGAATTTCAGAAGGTATCGTTCGCGCACAACCGAGGAAGAAGCCACCTCTGTTGAAATTAGAGCCAGTGTGGTGTAATGGTTTATGTGCTGAACTGTGACTCTAGAGACCAAGGTTCAATTCCCAGCTTGGCCATGAAACCCACTGGGTGACTTTGGGCAAGTCACTCTCTCTCAGCCACAGAGGATGGCAATAGTGAACCTATTCTGAACAAATCTTGCCAAGAAAACTCCATGATAAATTTGCTTTAGAGTTACGAAACGACTTGAAGGTACACAACAACAACAATAACAATGCAACCATCAAAGGCACAAAGGCCCCCTCCAGTTTCCACTGTGGCAATGTCCTAAAAGGCAACAGATCCTGTCATGATCTTAGAAATTAAGCTGGGTCAGCCCTCATCAGGGTGATCAGATGTCCTCACCACAAGGGAGGATGAGGCACCACAAGAGGTAGGACATTCAAGAAAATTGGAGGGCATTGCAAAATAAAAGCTAGATGCACTAATATAAAAGTAAATCCATGCTTCTTAGCCAAGCTCAAAATGGAGGACATTTTGGAATTCCTTCAGATAGAAGGCTGAAATGTAGGACAGGTCCTGGAGAAGGAGAAAGTGTCTGGTCACTCTGCTCCAACCCGATCCGACCTTCCCTCTTCTCTGACTTTTGGCACTGAAACTTCTGCCATTCGCCTCACAGAACTGGCAGCGTCCTTTCCCTCCCTCCTTTCTTCCTGGCCTCCTTCTCCCAGGGTGACCAGAGGTCCTCCTTTTCCAGGACATGCCCTACATTTCAACCTTGTCTGTAAGAAATTCCAAACTGTCCTCCATTTTGAGCCTGAATAAGAAGCATGAATTTATATGAGTATTTCTAGCTTCTATATGTTGCCACGCCCTCCATTTTTTCCCCTGAAGGCCCTCTATTTTGTGGTATCTTATCCTCCTTGGCGGTGAGGATCTCTGGTCACCCTGTTTTTCTTCCACCCCACCCCAAGAGAGCAGGGTGACTGGACACGGACACCTCCTCTTTTCCCAGGACACATCCTACATTTCAACCTCCTTCTGCCCAGGACGAATTCTATAATGTCCTCCATTTTGAGCCTGACCTAAGAAGCATTTATATGAGGGTTTTTAGCCTTTATATGTTGTCATGCCTTCCATTTTGCGGTGCCTCGTCTTCCTTGGCAGTGAGGGTCATCTGCTTACCCTGAAAGGGAGAACCCCAGAGCAGGGTGACATCTTTCTTTTCCAGGACACATCCTATATTTAGGAATCCCAAAATGCCCTTCCTTTTGAACAGGACCAAGAAGCATGAATGTACATTTGTATATGAGTGCTTTTAGCTTTTATTGGTTGTCGTGCCCTCCATTTCCCCTCCTGAATGTCCATTTTGCAGTGCCTGGCCCTCCTTGGCAGTGAGGAGGGCACCCTGAGAAGGAGCAACCCCAAAGAGCAGGGTGGCCAGACATGTCCTCATTTTTCCCAACCTATCCTCCATTTCAACCTTTTGTCCAGGAAGAATCCCAAAATGCCCTCCATTTTGAGCCTGACCAAGAAGCATGGATTTACCTGAGTGTTTCTAGCTTCTATATGGTGTTTACCACATG